TTTGGTCCATTAAGTTTTATTCATACCTTACCAGCATCACACCCAAACCTTGTTAGTACGACGATTATGGCGATTGCATTTATGCAAATATAATACAAAACTTACACTTAATATGTTTCGGAAATCTCAGCACAAAATTTCCAAAGACTTACAGGAAGTTACTGCACCGAATTTTTTTAAAGTCTCATTACTATTAGCTTGGAGACAGTGAAAGGACAAAATTTCTCAAAACACTTCCTCCCTCTTAAAAAATATATCAAAAGTAATTAACTGAAAAATAAGATCAACATAAAATTCACACGTAAAACAGTGAATTTTAACTAGGAAAAACAATATAATTTTTAAGTTAACAGCTTAACGAAAAAATTATTTCGCTTTTCTTTGGTTTAGTCTCTAGATCAAACAAAAAAAAAAAAAAAAATCCTATCCTGGACGCAAATAACATTATCGCTAACAGACTATCGGTGCATTTTAGATGCTGTAACATGCACTCTAGTAAAATCACCAACGATACTTGCACTAATCGTCCAAACGATAAGCTATTATTCGTAAAAAGTACGTGCACAGATAAGCTGAAAAAATGAAACTAACCTCTTTTGATAGTGTAAATGACGGAGGTATGGAGAAATAATAACCAGCTTCGATTGCCGGCCTAGCATTTTTCACGTTACCGCTGAAGGCATGCAACAAAACATGTGTAGCACCATTCTGACGTAGAACTTCAATCGTTGGTCGCCCTGCAGATCGACTATGTACATTTCTAGAAGAAACTTTTTTATAGTCATCACAACTTTATCAACGAAATTCGCTCGATTTTGTCAATTAAAAAGAGCAAAAGGCTATTAGTGGTATCGGAATTTTTGCCCATCTTGAAAAGAAAAAAAAACACGTTAACGTTGCAAGTAGGTTGATTACCAGCCGATGGTACTGGTTTTAAACTTCTTAAAAATAGGATTTCTGAAAAATTACTTAAAAGATTTCAAAATCTTTGAAAACTTACAGTGGCAAGTCATATTTTCCTGAGAGATCAATATGCTGTTTCAGTACAAATGCTTGCTCTTCTTTTGCATCCGATGTGTTCATATACCTAGGTGTATAGTCCAAACCAACCTTAAAAAAAAAATTATGAAGCAAAAACCATGAAAATGCTGTAGATTAGAAAAGTCGATAAAAAACAGCTGAATTAAATTATTTGAAAGAAAAAACCATGAATAATTTGCGTTTTATTATTAGGGTTATATTAGTGAAAAACTTGGAATTACGCCAAGG